ATGAGGACACTATCAACAGTATGATCAAGTTTGATTTTGATAAGCTATTTTTTATTCTCTTTACATCCATGCCACAACAAATTGCTTTGCCTAAACTAAGCAAAATCACTGACTGATTAATCAAACTTTTATGTTCTTAAATCAGATATCACAAAGGATGATTTTTCAAACTTCACTATCCAACTGAACAAATCAGTTGAATAGCAGTTATAACATTGATTTCCTATAAAAATGAATTAATGGACTGTACAAACAGCAAAATATTCTATGCTACTTGCTTCTGGGTCACTACTTTAAAGACATATTTCATTAATCTTCAAAGTAACAAGAAAATTCCAGGTTTGCATGTCCAAAAAATGGTTCACATTCATCTCGTTACTCAAAAAAATTGGTCATATTCAGAGCATCCCACCGAAATCTTTAAATTTCTTCAACAAATACAAAATTTTCCACTATTTTAAGTGACAACTATTAAAACTTTTTATAATTGCGATTATTTATTGGGATTCTAGCCAACATCTATGATATCCTCTAAAGACAGTACAAGCAGATCTCATAAAAAGCCTCTGCTAGCATACAGATAACAACAACAGAGAATTAATCATTTTTGCTATAGCAACCACTGCACTGCAATTACCATAGTGACATGAGAAGAATAGAAAAAGTAATAATGAAGAGCTCTTACTTGTCTGGAGCAATGTGTCAGCCAAATAAGTCTAGAATTCTCTAGTGGCCAGCTCTGCTCACCTTAATCAATTGAAATGCCATTTGAAATAAATATGTCACAAAGCATTTCTGATTTGTTTTTAAAAGGGCAATACAAATTTGTCAATTGTTCCCTCTCCTTTTGTCAGGTTAATGTTCAAATCACTGCTATCATGTAATAGAGGGGAAGTGCTACTTATTTTAGAGGTCCCAGTTTAGACATAAAGTCTAAGGTCTACTACATTACTGTAAATATATTGATATATATACACCTGCTTTTGCATATTTTTCCATTAAAATATACACATACATACACAAACATATATACAGAAATGTAGTAGACCTTACAGATACATATATATAAATGTATACAAACATACATTTGTATATCTTTTTCATGAAAAAATATATCTTTATTATTTGAGTACTTCAGGAAGACTTGGTGCTAAGATTAGACTAACATCTGTCACAATTTCTCCCAAGTCACCTAATTGCTGTTTTTTCCAACTCCACTTATCTAAATAATTTCTACTTGATAGCTGTTGTTCAACCTGATTACTTTAAGAGTGGAAACCTTACCCAAAATTTGTTGCTTTTGGAGGTTCTCAATCAGGATCTTTTTCAAAGGTCCCCCTCTTTTTTCAAATGACAGGTAAATACTTATGGCTGGAAACAGTACTTCAAATAAAACTTTTGGAAGCAGGAAATAATGTTAGACAAAGTCACCTTTTGAAACAACATGTTTTGCAAAGACAGGTGTGATCAATAAATCAGAATCTCGGACTGCAGAAGTGCAACAGTGTACAAATAGAACGGTGGGTGTAAACGAGAAGGTGGCAGCACAACTGACATACTCCCAAGCTCATGTCTGGACCTGGCATCGTTCCACAGTCCAATCTGCACAAAGTTAAGTACATGAGAAGCGGCAGAAAGTGAAAGCACAGAGAAATACAGAATCCTTTGAAATCTTTAGTGAATGGCAAGGCTGGCACATCAGCTATTGACATACAGAAAATGTCAAGAAAGGGGAAGAAAATAGAGGGAGGCAACACAGAAGTAAGAATGTAACAGGCTTGTGACTATATTGAATGTTTCTAGTCACAACAGCTGTACCCCAGTACCAACAGTGAAGATGCTTACAGCATGCACAGAGCAGAGCGAGTGTGATATGGTATGTTCTGCTTAGTGTATCACACACAGTTTGGCAAAGGCTACTTAGGAGAAGGCAGCACAATCTTCTAATGCATCTCATTTTACATTTTCATTGTGCTATTTTGATTTGTTGTGCAATGAAGCCTTTTTCAGGCCCCATTAGAGATAGCCAAATTACTATTTGAAACTGCAAACCATCATACCTTAACTTCGACTTATGACACTCATTATTTCATCTTTTTTGAAACGGAAAACTGAAAAAAGGAGACATTCAAGTCTGACAAACCATTTCTAGTAAAGCATTTTCTTTAACTTCAGCTCACTACAAGCAGAATCTGTATGACAAATGACTACCTTTTGAAGTACCTAAACATATGCAGACAAAGCATAGTGGGTAAATGCAGTCACTCTGATACAGTGTTATTCTAGCAATGTGAGACTTTGCCTCTCTATTGTTGACTGGAATGAAAATGAACATGAGCAGAACTCAACCAAGATCCTCCTTTGCATTAAAAGTTTTTTTCCTCTGACCAATTACTGTATAGCCACTCTTACACAGAGCTATTTTGCTGTAGGCAGGATTTTTTTGGTGGTGGTAGGGTATTATTCAACTTCCTTCAGCCTGCATTTAATAAAGAACATGGAATTTAGAATTATACCCCTTCACTACTTATACACATTGTTTTAGTACCATATTTGCTTCAATATTCTCTAAAACTTTGTTCAATGAGAAAATAACTATTTGTCATCTTGAGTATTTTAAATTAATATTGGGAAAGTAAAAAAAAAAAGAGAAAAAGAATTGATGCACTGCTCTATTTCCTACCCACTGTTACAACAGAAGAAAGACTAATCAAAGTTCTAATAGTACTCAAATAGCAAATTTGAAATCATAGTTGTAAGTATTTCCATAGTTGTTAGAATAAACTTTGTTCTTCTGTCAAAACACACACATACATTTATAGCAATCTTTTCACTCGGTCTAGGAAAATTAATGGGCAGAAAGACCATTAAACCATTTCCCATCCTCCACTTGGATGAACTTGCGTGATCTAGAATGAAGATAAAGATGATAGTGTGTATGTAGCCGTTCAGGAAGAGGAAGCAAGACCCTCATACTGCAAGATCTGTGCTGGGTGTTCTCTCTTAGAGATTAAATGGCTGAGATCTTTCAGAATAACCAGTTCCAAAAAGTCACCTTCTGAAAAGCCAGCATCTCCTCCCATAGATGGTACTCATGATTCCTTGCCTCTCTATCCACTTTGCCATATATGCTGTCCCTCTACATTTATTTGCTTGCATTTCTTAAGTCCCTGCATGCATGTTCTCTCATTATATTCATCCTTACTAGAAAGATTGCTCCACTATTGCCTTACACTAGTGCTTTGCCTATGAATTTGATGATAATTAGCAGAGCAGGGTATTAAAAAACTGGTGGTCGAACTCCAAAACAGGAGTCCCCCATGGCTAAGGTAACTATACTGGCCATTGTCTTTCATAACCTTGGCTGCACCAAAACCATACAGTATACTGCATTGCTATATCAGTGTGCATTCAATTTACTTACATTTTCAGAATTTTACCTTTAGCGTTTGAACAGTTTCACTTCTCTTTGCAAAGATATCCCAGGGTTTATTAAAATTCCATTAATTATGATAAATTTCTAGAATTATGATATATCATTTGGGCTCATTAGCTACCTAACATAGAGATAAAATTATCCTACATAAAGATTGATTTCCACATTGCCATCTTTAAAAAAAAAAAACAACAAACCAAAATCAACAAACCCTAGAATTCTACTTATTACCTATTAAGACACATTATTCAGAACATCAGCTTGGAAAATAGTTACAAAAAACCCAACATATTTAAAATTTTTAACTCCAAAACCCGTAGTATTCTGTTCTTGCCTTCGGATATTATATACACAAGTGTTTCTATTTATAGATGAACAGTAAAAGATTTTTACAAAAACTTTTACAAACATTTTAGGAAATGTGTTAAACATATCACAGAAGAACCTAGAGCATTGTTCAGCTTCTTCATTTACTATAGATCTGTAAACCCACCCATAGTTGCTAGATAAGGATCTGTGGATAATTAACTATCCAGCAGAGGTGTCTTGTTACAGGTCAGTAAACAGCTTTGCTAGTACTCTTAAGAATACTTCTAAGTGGCAGCATAGAGCAAGAGAATTGGACTCTGGGTCTAACAGAGTCTGACTTCTAATTTAAAAAATTTTCATTTTCTTTAAACTGATTTTAAACCAAAAGGATGCAACAAGGCTACCATTTGACAACATTTTAAAAGACAGGCTCAGTCTCACAATTAATGAGCATGTCGTATAAACATAGTAAATTAGTTCTTTAAGAAGTTATTTACATTAAATGGTGTCAGCACAATCAGGTCTGTAGCACTTTCCCTTGGCTTGCAAAATTCTTATTTTAGTGCACAGAAAAAAAATTACTTTTTGAACTACAAAACCCAACATTTCCTGTTCTCCGTAACATGACACACACATTGATAAGCCACAATTAACTGAAAAAGTACATTCTAATAGAAAAAAATACAGGCTTTCACTAACCCTTGCAAAAATAGATGTACATATAAATTAAGTTTTTCTTCTGTCCAAAAGCCTTCCAGAATTTTCAATTACAACCATTAAGATTTTACCATTCTTCATCAATCTTTGTTCAAGTCATTTTAATTAATTTACATTTTGGCTTTATTAGTTTGCAAAGGTGAAGAATTTATGAACATTTACTCAAATAATATCTTCTGAACAAGATTAGGGGAAAAAAAACCCAAATCACAACAAACAAAATACATGTCTCAAAAGTAAGTCTGGCGTTGTAGCACGCCTCAAAGCAACAGTCATTAAGCAAGGCATTCAACAGTAGATACATGTGATGTAGAATGTACTGGGATAGCCAAAGTTGAATTTAGTTGCATTTATTAATAATCATTCCCAGATATTTCAAGATTAACAGTCAAATAGGTATAATACCTTAAAGGGGAAAAAAAAAGTAAAAGAACACTTCTAGAGCTAAACATCTTTATTTGTTCTTTGATTTAGAGTAGCTAACCAAAATCTGAAAGAGAAAGAAACACTCAGGATAGTTTAGAAGAATAAAACTCACCAAAATCTGCAAACACAGACTGTCCAACAACTTTCACACCACTAGGCTTTTCCATAGTTTTTTCAAGTTTAGAGAAGTTCCCATCCTATCAAACAGGACAAAGATGATAAAAAACTGAACTGCAGGCTAAGTGATAAAATTTGATTTTTGAACCAAAGAAAATATGCATTGATAAAAACCCCACTAAAGTAGATAATAGAGAGACGTCTCAGCTATAGAAAAAAATGCACTCTCTGAAAATCGGGACTGAGTTTTTGCACTTTTAATCCTTCATGGAATCTTATGGAAATCCAGTAATAGTAATGTTCAGATACAATTGTCCATATATTTTGCTCTGTTATGTGGAATAGATTGGGTTACTTCAGCAACATAATCTAAATAATAATTAAGTGATTATGAATACTAGTGTGCATTTATGCAGTGACGTGATTTTAGAGATATATGCAATATATAAAAACACACTTGCACATCTGTCAAAAATAGCTTCTGATTTTCCTTCTAATTAGGAAATAACTTGATTTTACATTAGGTGTGGTTTAGGTCTTGTTTTAATCGTCTATTATTAAAACCTAGGCCTGCAGAAAACAATATTCCAGTATTTCATCAGAAAGACAAAAAAAAGAGTGCTGGATCCTTGTTTATCATAGAACCAGATCACAGTTGGAACAAAACCATTTAAAACATTTTCGTAGTCATGTAAGATGACCTAAGGCCCACTTTTCTAGTTGTTGCAATCAGCTCATATAAAGTGCTATGCACACAAGTACACGTAAAGCCACTGAGACAAATGATACTGTTTTGTGGATTATGTATAGTTATCCATATTGCTCACTCATGTGGTACTCAGTTTGTGGACTTCAATGCTGTTGAAAATGCAACTCTGGAAACAGTTAGTAAATGGATGTTTGACTGTGTATCTTCACCTCGACATATAATTTATAATAGCTCAGGTGAGAGAAAAAAAAAAATTAATGCAAATCATCTCCATGCAGAAAAGACTAGGCCCTGGGCTCAGCTGGCCAGAAAAGCATGTGTCATATAGACAAATATTTTAAAAGCATTTTATGGTGCATCAATGAAGAATTACTTTGCCTAGGTTTGTAGAGCAATTTAACAGCTTTTAATGGATCAATCAAGTTATTTTAAGATTGATATACATGTACATATATGTATGACATTTTACTGGGTTTATTGATTCCAAATAATAGAATTCCTTCTTTCTAAAGATAAGCAAATCTATGCATAGAAAATATATAATGTAGGATAATATTTAGAATATATGAGTTTGGAAAATTCAAAATTTGTAAGAAAATAATAAAAAAAATCACCTACAGCAGACAGGTCAAATGCCTTCTGTAGTCAGTAACTCAATCCCTCAAGAATTAAATTAATCGAAGTCAAAACCTGGTCATTTTTAAGTCTATATAAATGCTAGAAATATAGTATTCATTACCTGCTGCTTTAAAAAAAAAAAAAAAAAAAAGTGTCCAGTACAGCTTTCATTACTTTTGCCTAAAAATTAGTATTCAGAGACTATCTGGCAGCTATTACTTTTCTTCTTCTTTTTTTTTTTTCTTTTTTTTTTTTTTTTTTCCTCCACTTTTTCAGTTCAGCAGCTGGTTGAAGATGGACATGTTGTTGGAGGCAAGACAGTCACTTCTACAGTGACTCACTGTGATATGATGGATAAATTTTCAGGTAAATAAAGCCTCAAAAAGTGTTTCTTAGCTTATAAGAGACACACCAAGCACTTCCTATTATAACAAAAAAGTAAACTTTTAACATACACATGCTAAGATTCCTAACTATAGTCCTTTTGAATAACAGATTAGATAAAGGATACATTTAGTTTCAAATGAACTAATTTCATTAATTAATTAATAAGGAGGTTCTTCACTGATGCTGGCCAGGTTAGGCAACACAAAAGCAGAATCTCAGTAAAAAAATATATAACAATAATCCATTGACCTATTTCTCCCTAACCTTGAATTGCATTTGTGATATTTGGTTAACATAGGACTTGGAATTTTCTCAACTGTAAGTTGCATACATATTGTAAAGGCTAGAAGTGAGAATTTGAACCTCTGGCCCACTAAATCTTACCCAAGATCTGAAGTCATAGTTCTAAGAAAGCTTACTTAAAGAAAACAAATCTTTGAGACAGCAAGAGTAAGAAATCTGATCAGCTTTTTCTTCATGAATCACCATGCTAAGTGTCAGTAAGTCCCTAGAACAGCTGATGACACACCAGGAGTCCTGCTAAGGTGTATGAAGGCAGTTTGATTGATTTACTTAGTAGTCATGTTAAGAAATCTGCAGAGGAACTTATGCGGAATAAAAGATCTCCAGTGATATTCTGCAGTTTAAATGCAATAACGCAGTTAGTGCCTCAACCTTGGTTCCACTCATTCCTGAAACAAGGAATATCAGATGACCTTTTTTTTTTTTTTTTTTTAAACTTGTCTGTGTTTTAACAGAATGGTTATTTGGATTTTCTCTCTTACCTTATTTACCCATGTCTCAAAAATAATGTTTTGTGAATTTGGTAAGGTAGTAAGGAACAAATCTGCAAGGAGAAACATAAGAGAAATAAAATATTTAACATTAGACTATGCACACAAATATTTGATCACTCAATAAAGATATAATGTATTTAAAAATATATTACCTATATTTTATAAGTTATAAATATATTATATTCCAGTGATGTTGAGATGTCTATATATTAAGCAAGAAAGATTAAAAAACAAAAACCCAAAAAAATATTTTCATCCCTCATACTCTTCTATATAAATAAATATACCTTCAGCACTCAACTTCTGCATTTGTACAGTTTATACATAAATTAAGTTAGTCTCACATGATCTAGTAAGTGCTGGATGTTATATATGTACACTGAAGAACATTTCTTAATAGTAAAGACAGAGACAGACCTCAAAGCTACAAAAAGGTACACATAGTTATATTTTTGTCAAAATTAACATCAAATTTAAAGTAAAAATTAAAAATAAAAACCTACCAACCATCCTTTTATTTTGGATATGTTGAATTAAGCAACAGAAACACTGTTGACAGGAGGAGAAAAGGAGATGGAGAAATATTTCACGCTTCCTTTACACTAAAATTCTCTTAAAAATTAAAACAGTGCAAAAGAGTGCCTCAGAGGATTTATCTGACAACACCTACTTAAAGAGTAGCTTATTCATTGCCATTTAGGAAAGCACCCAAGTTAGGAAAATGGGGAAAAAAAACCTTTATAAAGGAGTTTTTACAACAACAAAAAAAAAAAAAAAAAAAAGGAGGGGGGGAGTTTAAGGAAAAAAATTTAAAAATTACTAAGTCCAGATTTTAGGAAAACTACTCTTTTAGATTTATGCACTTGTTTTCTTTTTCATTGTCCTCC